TAAACAAAAGCTGTTTAACAAGGTTTTTATTTGGCAAAATTAGGTATCGTGATTGATTGTTTAATTCCTTAAAAATTAATAATTTAAAGCGTAACGGACGGGACTATTACTTGATGGTCTTCGTCCCCACATGCCTTACATTTTTGTGGTAGTTGACTCGTACATTTTGTAGTGCTGTGGCTTCCTCCGCATTTTAGGCAGCCCATGGAGCTTGTACATTCTTTTGTTTTGTGTTCAAAAGACAGGCATTTATTGCATGGGATTGGTGTTGGTTCTGGAGGGGTGCTTGGATATACTGGGTAGTGTCTGAATTTGTAGTAGACTCCTTCGTTTATAAGTTTTTCGTATGCTTGGAAGTTTCCTGTTATTATTCCTGTTATTATTCTAATTCTGTTGGTTTGTTTGTGGCTTTTGCAATTATTCTTTTGCAATATCAATGCTCAATGTTGTTCATGCTGAGGAACTTACTTATGTCATCTTCTATATATTGTTCTACTGTGGCAATTACTGCTGAATAAGATTGTTCTTAAGGTCCTACTTTTTCATTTGGATTTGTGGATTGTTTTATTTCCATGTAGTTACTAACTAGGATTTTAGCTTTTAGTTTTTCAAGTTTACTTGTTATCTCACTTTTTGGTAAGTTTGTTCAAAGAAGGAAACCCTTTTTAGTTTCTTTGAGGTCATCTTTGCCTAGCGGTTCTTCTGATTGCCATTTGACATTTCTATTCTGTTTATTTTTTCTGCTGTGTTTATGTAGAATAAGAGGTTGTATTCTTTGTTTATAAGTTCTCTCATTTTTGCAGAGTAGTTACTTTGTGTTCCATTTCTGGCTTGACTGAGATTTTAGGCGTTTGAACCTTGTGTTTTGTGGATTTTTGTTTGTAGTGGATTATTTTGGGTGGAGTTTTTGTTATGTGTCTTTTCTCCCGATATTTCGGTAGTGTTGTTTTGTTTGTTAGTTAACTACTACAAATTTGTATAGAATTTGTTTCTGTGTTCGTCATCAAGCTTGCTTTGGACGTTGTGGGTATATTTTCTGTTGTTATCTGTTTGCCCAAAGTGACCAGATTCTGTCAAAAAAAATCGGGACATTTTGTATGAATTTACCTTAATTACAAAATTGACACAATGATACAATGCAAATTGTAAATTTGACGTTACTTAATTATTGTTGATTGTGACATTTTTGTATTTAAGGTTAGTTTACACAAAATGTCCCGTTTTTTTTTGACAGAATCTGGTCACTTTATGTTTGCCCTTAGTATTTGTTTCCTGTTGTCCTCCCAATATTATTTGGTTCAATTCTTCTGACGAGAACTGTCTTCGTAGTAGTTGTTCTTTTGTGGTGATTTTATTTGGTTTATCTTCATCTAAACTTGAGTTCGAGAGGTCCGTTGTGTCCGTATCTTTTTGTTTTTTCCGTTTTCCGCCCATAACTTGATGGCTAGCGGCCTTTTCACATACTTTCCCGTGAGATGTGGGGTTATGTTTACTTTTTGGTTCCGTAAACCAAATTTTCGCACTTTTTTTACTGTTTTTAGTGAGAACCGCCTTACGGTGGCTCTTTTGATTATATTTTGAACGTATTTTACCAAGATTTTCACGAATTTATTTAAATGTGGTAAAAATTAGGTTAGTCTTCTTCTACTTTCAAAACATCCTACTTCCTGAATATATATCCTTAATATGCCAATAATATGTCAACGCCAACGTCGATGTACTATTTAAAATCAAATAATTTATAATAAAACCTCACGGGCTACTTTGACAACAACAATTGGTATTTTTGTCAAATCAATAAGTAGTGCTAGGAACTATAGTAAGCAATATTCTGCACATAAAATATTATTTTTAAAAGTTTATTGAGTGGATTACTATTTTGCGTATTAATGGTTATTGTTTTATTTTCTCCGTGTAAGAAAGCAAAAAATAATTTGTATCTAAAAGTATCTAGATACATGTTTAAGGTAACTGTATCTGTAACTAGTTACTGCATTAAAATATGTATATGTATCTGTATCTAGTTACAAATTTTGGTAAGTAACTGTAACGTAACTAGATACTGAAAATGATGTAACTGTTACAACACTGTTGATTAGGTTGTTTATTAGGGTGGGCCGATTTTAATATTTTTCAAATATCAAATTGTGTAATGGTGGAAAAGTTGTGCATTTATAAGGTCAGAAAAATATTATAAGAGTTTTTTTTTTAATTTTAATTTCTTAAACTGCTGCAAGGCCTTGAAAGATCTTAATGTAATTTAGTATCGTTATAAATACGACAAAAATTATCTGAGAGAAAATAGGGTTAAAAAAAGTTTTGAATGATAAATATTTATTAAAAAAAACAAAAATAAAAATGAATTTATCATCAACACAAATTTAATTTAATTTATAATCCTGTTTTACCTGCCATTTTTCACAAACACCCAAAAACCACAAACAGATACTACTTGTAAAAATTTCTATTATTTAACTAATTGACGATGTCAAAATATTATAATTTATATAAACAGTGAAGCTGTCAACTGTCCTACGTCAAACACGAAAATCTTAAAAAATATTTATTTTCCATTTTACGCCGTCTCTCCAATAATTGCAATTATTGTAAAATTTAAAATTTACAGTTTGACTTCATACAGTTCAAAACATTAAAAAAGAAAAAAAATCTTAAAGGGAAATAGTTTACTTTCCTATTTCACAACTTTCCCGCTTATGAATAATTTAAAATTTTTAAAAATTACTTTTAAATTTTTAGAGGCGTTGCGGCAGTTCAAAACATATAGATATCAAAAAAAATATTTTGCAAAAAATGTTTACTTTCCTATTTCACAACTTTTTCTTAAATGCAGAATTTAATATTTTTAAATTGTAGAAGTTAAATATAAAATCGGCCCACCCTATTGTTTATTACAGTTGTTCCCTTGCGCGCTTGAAATCCATGTTTACTTTCTGCTTATATCCCTGCATTACATAAGTGTTCAGATAGCCTTATATGAAGGTATTTTCTTAAATATCTGGCTAAAAACTGTTAGATTAGTTATTGGCCTATAGTTTCCTGGTTGGGTTTTATCAGATGGCTTATATATAGATGTGATTCTAGCTGTTTTTAGTTCATCTGGGAAAGTTCCATTTTTTATTTGTATATTTATGATTTGCAATAGTACAGGGGCAATGACATTTTTAATTTATCTATTATAAGGAATATTTCTTTTAAGTTTGTTGGTCTTATAGATACATTGACATCTTTACTCTGTATTTTAGCTGTTTTTCTTTTTGGGTATCTATTAAACGGCCTGTTTAATAGTTTTAAATATAAACCACCATAAACCTCGCGAGAAAAACGCGCGCAAATATTTTCTGTCGCAAAAAGTAGCATTTTTGGTTGTAAGATTTATGGAAATTTACCGAGTAGGTATTTTCCGTTATTTATGTTTTCCGTAATATTTAAAATAAATTTGGCAAATAGTTTATGTCATAAGGCTGAGAAGTGAGTCTTCTTCCTTCAATCAAAAAACCTCCTAGACTGTAAACATAATTTATACCAATCGATTCTTTGGTTTATACCCCCTAGTCTGTAAAAATCCCGTTTGGACCAATAAAAGAATTTAGATCTAATCTACCCTTACTTTCTACTTTTAATAATTATTAGAATTGTGCGTTTTATGTATTGTATGCCTTTTTGTGATTCGATTTATTAATTAATTGTAGGTGTCCGCCACGTGTGGGCATTTACTTTGAGCTTAATATAAGCCTTAGTTTGGAATTTCTAAATTTAAAAAAGCACTATTTAAGTTCACAATAAAAATTAAGTTATCCATTTAATCAATAGGTATGCGACTTAGGTTTAAGGTAATTTTTTTAAAAAGTCGCGAAAAAAGTCCATAGTAATAGTAATTAATTTCATATTAATATGGAATGTTTCACCATCTTGTTAAAAATAAAGGCCATCCAGGCAAGAAATCGTCGAAAAAATAATCGATTAGGTAACCAATTAAAACTTAGAAAAAATAAGGATCGATGTTGCGGAATTCCGTGCTATGATTCGCTATGATTCACACCAAACATTTGTCCAAATAATCCTTGTGGTTAGCTTGTGAATTGTTTTCACCCAATAACAGCAATTTTCCTTATTAAGGTAGTTGTCGTGCTGTAGGCACACCATCAGAAAATTTTAAATTTTTATATACTTATTAACGACTTGACAATACAATTATCCTTAAAATTTGAAGTCGATTGACCGTCTATAACCCTAGATAAATTCAATTAAAAATTGGATAATTAACATGGATTGTATACGCTTCCTGTAGTTCTGTACCAGTTTCTTAGTTATAAAAAAACTAACTGTCGGAAGCTTTTAAAAAACGAACGTCTTTTAATGTATTTTTGCTGAGTTTAAAAAAAAATAATAAAATTTTTTTGACCGTCCAATTGTTTATAAATAACCGTTTAAAGTTCAACAATTTGTAAAAAAGAATAAGTCAGATAAAAACAACTTGGCAACGCTGTACGCGATTATAAATATTATTTGCGCAGTAAATTCAAACAGACTGATTCAGTCTCTATTGGTTGCGCATAAGCGACGTTGCCGGATTAAAACTTATGAAAATATTTGAAAGTATTAAGTATAGGTAACGTCTCCAAGGGTACAGTCTTGCGAAAAAATTATGAATCACTTATTTACAATCCCGTATACTTTTACGGTGAGTATAATCTAAAAATTTTGGACAATATTGTACCACGACAACTATCTTAACGCCTTACTGGAAAATATTATACATGGTAAAACTTCAAACCTTACTAAACAATTTTTTATCAATTTTTTTTTAACATAGTCCCTATAGCGATATCAACGCCTAAAGATAATTTTTTCCTACTTTGCTTTAAATAAGGAACTTTCTTGTTTTTTAGTTCTGCTTTTTTCAACACAATTTTAACCTGTTATGGTATTTTGTTGGGCAAGAAAAGTAAATCATTAATAAATTGTTTATTTAATTTTAGTCAAATAAAACAAGGCTGAAACCCTCAACTGTACCTGTAAACGACGAAATTCCTCCGAACGAAGATGACCCCAAAGAAGAAAGTGATGCAGATTGTGATAATGGACAAATAGAAGATGCAGAGGCTGAAGCTGAAGTTCCAGAAGAAACCGAAGGCGCCAGCACCGCAGAACCAAGGAATGTAAACGGCAAAAAGAAAAAAACTACACCAAAAATTTGTACATATTGCGGAAAATCCTACAAAACCAATTACAAGTTGGTGGAACATCTAAGAAAACATACTGGGGAAAAACCGTTTCAGTGTGGAACTTGTGATAAATCGTTCAGGTCAAAGATTGGATTAACACAACATGAGGCGGTTCATACAGGTATAAAAACAGCGACAACATAAAAATTCAGCTGTTTTTTTTCATATGCTTTGTTAAAGCAAAGTTTCAATTTTAATTCGTTATAACGTAAATGTATAGTTTTAAGTATAATTTAAGCAGGCTTATATTGCCACTCCCACTGTAGAGGCAAGCCAATCATATGTCTAGTAGCGAGGGGGGTTAAAACTACCCGAACTGTAGGACGACAATCGTCACATTCACTCAATTAAGCAGCATTGCAACACATGGGCAGTATCGACTACCCAAATTGATCGCCAATGATCTAGTTTTTATTTCACTTGTTTAAATAGTTTTAGTTTAAGTTATGTGTAAATAAATATCTACTTAAAAACCATACACTATTGTGGTTTTAATCAACAATACAACAACATCAAACAAACACAAGCATCGTTTTATGGTCCTTCGAGCAACAATTTAACAACAATTACCAAACAATAAACATTTGTTGGTCCTTCGAACCGGATACAGGAGAGTTTGATCTATGGATATCAAATTTATCGCATCCTAGACGACAACACAATCAGCATTTCTACAAGAACTGGACATCTATAGGAAGACCATCCAAGCCACCGTCTTCAGGCCTACACAGCTTCCTATAGTCTTCAGATTGGGACAACACCTGGTCGCCCATTACGACAAAGCAGTAAGTCTCATTCCATTTACCATCCTTTCTATTCATATCAGAGTGTTTTCTACATGTACTACGATTTATTTTACTATTTCATATAATACGGTGCATTTGCATTTTCCAAATCAATAAGACTAGTTACACATTTCAATTATAATGGAACTAGAAAATCTACAATTTACTCGTGACATTGCAATAAATCGTTTAAAAAATATCAAAAAGATAGCAGGTAAAGCCGAAAAAGATGAAATTCAAAAGGGCGCATTCCAAGTTCGATATGAACAAGTACACATTTTATTCAATGAATTTCAAGCCTTGCATGGGCAAATTATTTCCAAATCATTGGAACTTAAAACATTAGACTTTGCAGCTCAAGAAAAAATAAGATCAGACTTTGACAATACATTTTATGCCATTAAAACGTCATATCAAAGCTTATTTCCTCCAGAAACAAGTGAGTGTAATTCGCCATCAATACATAGCAACAGTAACAATTTCGTTGATAAACAAAATGTGCGATTACCAAAACTTCAATTACCAAGGTTTGAAGGCAGTTTTCAAACGTGGCTCAATTTTCGCGATTTGTACAATAGCCTCATTCACAACAATCTTTCGTTGTCAAATATTGACAAATTTCAATATTTACTCACGTCGTTAGGCCCTAAACCAACGGCATTTATAAAATATATACCAGTAGCTGATGATCATTACATAATTGCATATAATAAGTTAATGGACGAGTACAACAATAAAAGACAGCTCGCAACTGCCTATTGGGAGGAGGTTGCTACGTTTACAAAATTACCGTTTGCTACAAATCAAAATCTCAAAACATTAGTCAATACATTTGATGAAAATATTGAAGCCCTTAAATTGTTAAAGTTTCCGACAGATCAATGGGATTTTCCTTTATTCAATATTTTGTTGCAAAAACTCGATGTCGAGACTCGTAAAGCATTCGAATTGTAATATAAGTCAGTCGAATTACCGTCATATTTGCAATTAAAAGAATTTATATTAGAGTATAGCAAGGTATTAAACAATTCCGCTGCAAGAACCGATAAAAGGTTATTCACTAATAATATTAGCAACAATCAATCCAAATTTACAAAACCGTTTCAGAAACGAACGGAACATTCATTTGCAGTAAATAATAGTTCACCCGTGTGCTATTTTTGTAAACAATCGCATGCAATCTATCATTGTCAACAATTTTTAAACCTCTTACCCGAAGATCGTTTTAAAGAAGTCAAAAAACTTAAATTGTGCATTAATTGCTTAAGGCCGGGTCATAGCACAAACGAGTGTACATCAAGCAACTGCAGAAAGTGTCAAAATAAACACAATTCGATTTTACACTTTTCTACCGACAAATCAAATAATGTAAATTCGCAAAACGATTCAATTACAATTTTACCATCTACATCTAAAATTGATAATATGCCAAATGCAACACAGAGCAGTCATCAATCTTTAAGTATCATGCCAATAAAAGGTACAAAAGCCAATTGTTATCATACCGCTATTAATGACAACTTAGTTTTATTATCCACCGTCATTGTGGACATTTATGATTCTTACGGTCAACCGCAGCGCTGTCGAGCGCTTTTGGACTCAGGTAGTCAAAGTAACTTTATTACGGCAGATTTGGTAAAAAGGTTAGGTATTCAATTACAAGATTTCAAATTACACTGTGCGACAAATTTTGACCTTACAATTTGAACTGGGATGAAATGTGGAAAAATCGAATCTATGCAACCCCCTAAACTAATCTTTAAAGGGGTTTTGCTAGTTTAGCTCGAATAATGGAGATATACAGGGTGTTTCTTTTAACTTGAGACAGCTCAATATCTCGAGAAATACGCATTTCACGGAAAAATATCTTAAATAAAAGGTTAATGTGACCAAAGGGGACATTATTTGGTGCTACCGCTAGCCACCCCATACCCCTCCTTAAGGGTGAAACGGGGGGTAACTTTGGAAAGTCAAATGGAATGACCCGATTTTTTTCACAGAGTTTGGTAGTACATAAAAAAATGAATAACTTTTATTTGAAAGTTTTTTTCAATTTATCAACAAATGGCGCTGTAATTCAAAATTTAAGAAAAAGGGGTTTCCTTGTAAAATGTATTATTTGAAACGTTTGAAAAACAAAAATTAACATTAAATCAACAATAGTCGGCTCTGAAAACAATTTATAACAAATGTTCGAAATGTCGTCCTTCCATTTCGACACCGAGCACCAGCGTCCCTGGTCGGTAAACGTTTGGTGCGGTACCTTAAGCGAACGATTAATCGGACCCTTCTTTATTGACGGTGCATTAAATGGCGAAAAGTACCGGAATTTTCTAGAAAACGATCTGACGGACCTTTTGGAGGATGTACCACAAGCACGGCTCCAAAACATGTGGTACCAGCAAGATGGTTGTCCTGCACATTATTCGACAATTGCTCGAGAAGTGTTGGATCGGGAGTTCAATGGCCGGTGCACCGCGGTGGATCGGTAGACGTGGTCCAGTAATTTGGCCTGCTCGATCACCTGATCTTACGCCACCAGACTTCTTCCAGTGGGGTTACTTGAAAGAAAAAGTTTACGCTGCAATTCCTACAACTTGGGAGGACATGGTGGAGCGGATCAGGAACGCCTGTGCGGCGATACCGCCCGATATGTTGGCGCGTTGTGTGCCAGAATTCATTACCCGCATTCAAAAATGTGTTGAAATGGAATGACGACATTTCGAACATTTGTTATAAATTGTTTTCATAGCCGACTATTGTTGTTAATGTTAATTTTTGTTTTTCAAACGTTTCAAATAATACATTTTACAAGGAAACTCATTTTTCTTAAATTTTGAATTACAGCGCCATCTGTTGATAAATTGAAAAAAGTTTTAAATAAAAGTTATTTATTTTTCTATGTACTACCAAACTCTGTGAAAAAAATCGGGTCATTCCATTTGACTTTCCAAAGTTCCCCCCGTTTCACCCTTAAGGAGGGGTAGGGGGTGGCTAGCGGTAGCACCAAATAATGTCCCCTTTAGTCACATTAACCTTTTATTTAAGACATTTTTCCGTGAAATGCGTATTTCTCGAGATATTGAGCTGTCTCAAGTTAAAAGAAACACCCTGTACATATATATATGTATATCTTCATTATTCGAGCTAAACTGGTAAAACCCCTTAAAGGATTTGTTTTGGGGGTTGCCTAGATTCGATTTTTTCAGATTTGATCCCAGTTCATTTTTTGTGTTGCACAGTGTTATCAATTACGGGCATTAATCAGAAATTAACACAGGTTCACGCATCTGCTGAAATTCATATCAAATATAAATATAATGATTTTAACACTAAATTACGATGTTTAGTACTACCGACTATTACAAACAAAATTCCGACAATTCCATTTAACACAGACAATTTAAATATAGGTCAAGACATTCAATTAGCTGACCCAACTTTCAATAAACCTGGACAGATTGATATTTTATTAGGCGCAGGTATATACTATAATCTATTAGAGTCACAAACTATACAATTAGGTGACAGTAAACCAACTTTACAATTCACGAAACTCGGATGGGTAGTAACATGCTCAATAAATTTAAACTTCAATCAAAGCAACAATATTTGCGGTATAAGTCTAAATGAACAATTAGCGAAATTTTGGGAATTAGAAGAAATTAACATAAAGAAACCCTTATCATTTGAAGAACAATATTGCGAAGATTATTTTAAATCTACCACAACACGTGACGTCAATGGGAGATTTATTGTTAAATTGCCCTTTAAAAACTCCGTCATAAATCTTGGTGATTCAAAAACCATAGCTATTAAACGTTTTAAGTCATTAGAGACAAAATTTGTAAACGACGACAAGTTAAAAGCCTCTTATATTGAATTTATGGACGAATATATTTCACTCCAACATATGGGCATTGATAATGCCATTACACCTGTTTCATATCTTCCACACCATGCAGTTTATAAAGAAAACAAAATTCGAGTTGTTTTTGACGGATCTGCAAAATTAAGCGACGGTCTAAACATTAACGATTGTTTATGTGTAGGGCCAACTATTCAGAACGATCTCTTTGATATCGTTGTTCGATTTAGAAGTCATAAGTATGTTATGACCGCTGACATCAAAAAAATGTACCGACAGATCCTTGTTGATCAGTCAGACAGAAAATATCAAAACATTTTTTGGCGAGACAATCAACACGAGACTATTCAAATTTACAATTTAAATACAGTTACGTACGGCACATCTTGTGCACCATTTTTAGCAATTCGGTGTCTACACGAAATTGCATATCAAAATATCCATTTTAAAAAATTTGCCTGTGAAACC